TATATATATATATATATAAATCAGTTTTCAAGCATTTTACTACACTTCAGTATGTGATTCTTATTAAGTAGGGGTCATTTTTTAGGATTCTATACTTAACCCAAGTCTCTGAGAACCTGACACCTTGTACTTCTGGAGACTCCAGGTAGGTTGCAGTTCTGGAAAATGGTGGCGCTGGAGACTAAATGGTTCCTGGTGATTTCACACCTAATTCTTCACCTTAATTCCTAATTCTTTTGCAGTGAACAATAATCTTTTCTTCTCCACATGTTTTTGACTGACCCAGCTGACCCACTGAGCATTTTGCTGTCCAATGGTTATGCATTAACTTTGCAATTTCTAGTATTGTATTAGTTTTGAATATTTAATAATTTAATCATATTTAAGCATTTAATCATTTTTGACATTCAGTTTGAGTTAAATCTCTTTTTTGGCTCATTTTATCTGTAAAAGAAAATATGCTTAATAATTATGCACACCTGAATACAAGACATTTTTCACTTCCAGCTTTCATTAATAATTATATCTCAATTATAAATGATTAAATACAAGATTAATAGTAGTTAAGATTGATGTCGTTAGAGAACACTGAGGGCGAGGTGAGACGTTGCGAACGTTGAAACGTTGCACGTGCAAAAGAGAAGGTATGCACAAATCCAAAAACTTATTTTAAATGCAAAATTGATTTTCATATGCACAAAATACATTCTTCTTTGCGAGACAAACATTTTCTCCACAAAACTCAGTTCGCGCGTGCAAAACGCACTTTTCAAAATATGATCTTTCGCGCGCAGAATTGTGGCAGAGATGTAATCCCATACCATTTGGGACCAGGTCAAACGCAACGTTGAGCTTTCACAGTGCGCGTGTGCTCCTTTAGGTGAGCTGGAAAGTTTGGAACAAGTAACGCAGTTACTTGGTCTTTTTTAAAGCCTACACAAACTGACAAACTTAAATATGTTTTTGATATTGGCGCCTACACAACAACAAGACGGAACAAGCTTGTCCTAAAGATGACAAGCAATGCAAATATTGCACGTCATTACATTTAGAAGCTACCACGTACCTATAGGCCTTTGTGAGATATGTTTATTTTTGTCCGACATCATGGTCATGCTGTCCTGGGACAAGATGTGGATTTAAACAGGTCAGTAGACATTTAAAACAACGTATGAAGCAGGCTTTTGTACTGTTTATTGTACTACGCGAGTGTGATTTTATAGGTTTTTTTTGTGGTGGGTGATGGCAGGGAATACTTACTCCAGTGACGACAGCTCTGTTTGGACAATATTGGCTGGACATTCACATATAAATGGAAGAAATGTAAACCCTACTTTATTTCTTTATGATTTTGTGAAATTCTTCAGTTCGCGCGTGCGCAAAGCTCACTTTTGCGTGCTCAAAATATGATCTTTCGCGCTCAGAATTGTGGCAGAGATGTAATCCCATACACGGCCACCGGAGCTGATCGCGGCCACTCAGTCAATGCTGGTGTTTATACTGGCCGCACCGCGGCCCAGAACTCATGCTTATCACATCGGTCACATGACTCACATCACATTTCCTAACTGGGTTTCTACACCGGACGCAAACAGCGCGGCTAAACAAAATACAATAGAACCCATTATAATCAGTGATGTTGTCTACACTGGATGCGGCGCAATGCGACATGACAAATTCCGACAGTAAACTGATGCTTCGTTCTATTTATGACGTACTGACACAAAGTTCAAATGATTTTCAACAGTCGCTTTGTCGCGTCCTGTTGCGGCACAGACACGGTGTCAGCATAGTTTGTCAGACTCAGTAACGTAGCAGATTGAAAAGTTAGTATCTTTCTGCAGTCCAATAGACGGCAGTGCGGTGGTGGCTTGAGTCTGTTGAATGGTGATTTAACGCTACGTTGTCACCTAGTTGGAGAGACTCAATGCTAAGTAAATAAACAACAATGTCCCCATCCTTTACTCTCACAATGAGCTTATCACATCGTTTGCTACATTAGTAGGGCCCTGTGATTTCCGATTTCCGCGAAACATGGACGGAATCGCGGAATCCAGTCATAAATACTGAATTTACTGTATAATGCAGAATGCAGAAAATACGAATCCTCATGTTCTGCATGTTCATTTGATTACCAGAAAATACATAACACAGAATTTGTGAGAAAATATTATTAATTATTATTTATTCATTTTAGATGTTTACATTTGGAAAAGCTGTGCTTCCTGCATAAACCTGCCCCTGTTGGTTTGGCAGTAGCTTGCTTGCCCTACACAGTTACATTGTTTATTTTCTTAATTCAAGTTATACTGTATATATTTTGTTCTATTTGTGTTTAAATTATTTATAAGTTAACTTTACTGTTAAGTGCACTGATGTCAGATTATTTTGAATAATAAAGTTTATTGTTAAATACCCTGCCTCCACTACATAGGCCTTAGGCCATAGGTTTGATCACCACATTTGAGTTATCATTGCAAAAAATGTGTTCATGTGTATATATTCTGTTTATGTATATACTGTATTCTATATACAGTATAGTCAAAAGTTTTGACTATACTGTACTATAATCAGGGGTGCACAAGTTTTTCAGCCTGGTTCTCATATGAGAACCTGGAGATTTGATTTGGTCCTCACACGGCACATGGTGTGGCCCATCAAATATAACTAAAAAATAAATTAATAATAGTGATAATATTATTGCACTTAATTTTTTTTTAAATAAAATAATAAACTAAATAATAAAGTGTGATAACACTATTTTATTTTAACATAAAAAAGGGAGTATTAAATAAAAATACAATTATTTTACGGTAAACTTAAAAATAAAATGCTAATATTTTTATTATTATTTTAATTTGAACCTTAATTATTATTTTTAATTTGAATTATTTGAATTTTTCATTTTCAAACTTAAAATCAGCAAGCTTTTATTTTGGCGGGTTGCCGGCAAGTAAGTATATGCGCTTCCGGGTTCTGGGTTTAACACTACCGATTGTAGAGCGTCAGTGAATGAAATGTCACAGTTTTGCATTGTGCTTTGAAAATGTTAGTGGGTAGTCTAGATTTATGCGTTCAGTTTGAATAGAAATCTTATACAGTACAGTTTGTCGATCTAAATGGTAATTGTGCATTAACAGCTGTCAACCATGTCGGTACGCAAACGCGCGCTCTGAACTAATTTACACAGCGCATTTCTTATTTTGGTCACGCATGTGGACCTGCGGACCACTTATGTGCACCCCTGACTATAATATAGCCTACAAATAAAGAATATCGGTCGGGCTCTACACCTTACCGTTCAAAAGTTTGGGGTCGGTACGATTGTTATAAATGTTTTTGAAAGAAGTCTCTTATGCTCACCAAGGCTGCATTTATTTGATCATAAATACAATAGAAACAGTTTTAAGATTTTAAATTATGATACTATTTCACAATATTTCTCTTTTCTATTTGGATACAATTTAAATGTAATGTATTCCTGTGATTACAATTACTCCAGTCTTCAGTGTCGCATGATACTTCAGAAATCATTCCAATATTCTGATTTGGTGCTCAAGAAACATTTCTTATAAATAAAAATGTTGAAAACATAGGGCTGGACGATATGGCCAAAATTTATATCACGATATATTTCTTAATTTCGGTCGATACGATATAATTCCGATATCGATATGAATACTATTAAAAAAGCCTCTTAAAAACGGCCAAGAAAAATTATATCGCGATACATATTGATATTGAATGATTGTCCAGCTCTATGAAAACAGTTATGTTTGTTTTAATTTAAAGCAGACTGCGCCTAGGTTTAGGCTTAAGTGAAGTAGTGTCATGTCTTTCACACCTGTAAGAGGAGGCAGGTCAGAGTGGGGGGTGTTTACACTCTCCTCTGCAGGTGTATGAGTGGAGGGTGGAGGTCTGAAGGCCGAGGGCATGGCACTGGTGTAGAGAGGGACACTTAGGGGCTCTTTAGATGTGGCAGTACTGGTGGCCATCTCTTCTACTTGCTCCATTTCTAGCTGCTTCACAATCTCTTCTGCCTCCACCACCTGGCCTGGGGAATCCGAGGCTGACAGGACACGACAGGATAATAGTAAAGGAGAAGGGGGAAAGAAAAAACATGCCAGGTTAGGTGATTTGAATAAAGGTGCAACAGGGTTTTAACTTATGATCATCAAAATATCAATACAAAATATACCACTGCATGCATGAAGGGTGCATGGCTAACTGAATTCTGAATAATTTTGGCATTGATAGGATGTATAGTTGCCTAGTAACTAGTGGTTAAGTTCACACAATATTCAAAATGGCAGCCCTGCTACCCCATTTCAGCTGGAATCCTTCGCTCTCTTTTTTTTCAAATTTCAATATTGACATTTTACATAAAACTTCCTCTCATGAACTGCACTTTTTAATGTTCTTAAGATTGGTCACGTGTCATCTTTAGAGGTAACTTGTGAAATGTAAACAATAATTTGTGAAATGTAAACAGAAATGTGTTAGAAAGACAATATGGACGTTTATTTAACAAAGACTATTCTTCTTAAAGTAAAAAGGATATCATTATCAAGAATGATGAATGAAGAATGCTTCATCATTAAAGTTTATTTTAAATAAATATTGTACTGAACAACACAGGTACACCAGAACAATATTCTAAAAGTTTGTTGGAGTATAAGTGTGAATGTTGTGTTAATGTGTCAACTGATGCAGAAATAATTTAAAATGATCATTCACATCTTTAGTGTTCAGTTGAGTGTTTTTCATCTCACCATTTTTATTTGCTGTTGAGAAGAAATTGAAGACAGGAGAGAAGATGGTTCCAAGCAGGGTGGTGCGGGGTGGACTGCTCACAACCTCCTCAGAGTCCTCCAACTTCCCGTTAGGCTTACTCGTGTCATGGTTTGTGGTTTCTATAGGACAAAGTACGAAAAGAAAAACAAATGTCAAAAAAATTTGCATAATCAAATTATAAATGCAGAAGAGACCATTTAAATCCCCAACTCCATATAGGTTTATTACTCTATAGTTGTTGCCCTCATTCAGTTGACTGCTTGATACTGAAACCAGAGACATTATTTGTACTTTTGATTACAGTAGCAATTTGTTTCTCTTGAAGGCTACATGCCATTGTTTTTATTTAATCTGTTAGTATTTATATTAAAAGAGAACCTATGAAAGTATGTTCACTAGCATATTAGTTTTTGCTGTTGTAATGGCAATGTCAAATCATGACATTTCACTGGTATTAATACTAATGACATTTCCATATAGCGACAGTTCCAGTGCAGACTATAGTATCAGTTTTCATTGTTTAACTAGAGCACACAAGGGACTGACCTTCATTGACAAAGCTTCTTCTGCGGGCCCTGTAGATGCTTTTCCTCTGCAAGTCATTTTTCCTCTGTGGGGTGGAGGTGATCAGCTCGCAGCTCAGACGATTCCTCTTTGCTGGGTTGTCCGTCTCCACCTGAAACACCAACAGTGAGTTTTATACACACCAGTTTTAACTAGTGGTCGACCGATATATCGCCAAGGCCGATATATTGGCCGATATTTGGCATTTTTCAAATATCGGCATTGGCCGATAAGTTTTCCTGTTTGGCCGATGTGTTCGTGGCGGGACTTTTATTTTGACGTCGCTGAGAACGGCAGCGTCTGAGCACACAGTGCTCACATTCTCCCTCTTGTTCGTTAACAAATTAAAATCGTTAAAATCGTTAAACAGTTCTGTCTAATATGGATAGAAGTCTGTCTAATAATCAGATGGAACTGTTAAACAAAGGAATTAAAATGTATACAAAAAAGTATTATAACAATTGCTTTTATATTGTTAGTAATAGAAAGGCAAACATTATAATACTTTCTCGTTTGCCGTCAGCATTCAGCAAATACGCATTTATATAATTTAAACAAATCTTTGAATGACTAATTAACATCTAATTTCAAAAACCTTGCAAACTTAGTCGAATCCAGCTGTGAGATCTTATGAAGTGTGCATTTGTATCCTGCACGATCGCGTGTACTCTGCGTGACGGTCGGTCCGTGTGAATTGAATGCGGACAGGAGGAGAGTTCAGCTTCATTGAGACGCGCGATTGACAAACTTTAAACTCGTGATTTCAAATTATGCTGTGCTTCATGCTTTTGCCCAATGTCATATTAATGTCATTTTCACTGTGTGCTGTATGTAAAATGAGTGTAACCTTGGCTTTATTTGAAAAAATGTGATTCCCAATGCACACAAACTTCCCAGAATACGGAGTGCCCTGTTGGTTACAGTGTTTACTTGCTTTTTAATTATATTTTTATTAAATATTTGTGAAAAATACTTTGTCATTTAAAGTATAAGCATGTTTATTTTACACATTTATTTTTTTAATCCATTTTCAAATGATTTAAAATTTCTTAAATATTAGATAAAATACATAAAATTATATCGGCCACCCTGCTTTCCAAGATATCGCATCGGCTGTCAAAAAAACAGTATCGGTCGACCATTAGTTTTAACATGTTTAAGTTTAGAGATGGATGAAAACCTATTATTAATATATTTAACTCAATTAATATATTTAAATTAAAATGCTAAAAAAAAAAAACAACAACAACATACAAATCAACATGAAATCCCCCTTAACTTGTTTATATTGAAGAACGTACATTTCTTGAAACTTCTGGAGTCATGATTGGTTAATTAATATAATATATCAACACTCCCAATTTCGGTGAAGAAAAAAAAACTTTGCAAACAAGCAACATTTTCATAATTACAGCAGAAATACGAGAAACAAAAAGGGAATTTCAAATATTGTGTTGGACAGTGTGGGGCCTTTGAGTCAAAAAGGCTGAGAACCACTGACATAATATAACTCAAAATAAAAAGAGCAATTAAAATAATCCAAAATAATTACAAAAGAAAAGAGAGGAAAAACTGATCATAATACACTAAATGACTGATGATCACACACTAGGCTACCAGACTTTCAAGTCGTTTGAACTAGGGATGTTCATATTAACCGTTTAACCGTTAACCGAAAGTAAAAAAATAGTCAGATTAATACTACCAGTTTAAACGGTATACATATTTGTTTACCCACGGGGAAAAATCAACCCAGGGCATCAGTTTAAAAGTAGCCCGATTTCGTGGAAAAAATGTGGACTTTGCAACCCTGCATCCAACAGAGCTTGACTGATAATGGGTCGAGAGTAGGATAGATGACTGACAGACCATGGAGTATTTGCTGCTCAGCAGATCCTGAACTCACTGACAAATATCTGATCTTGTAAGATTAGATGTGCTCCTTTACACAGAGTGTGTGTAAATGCGAAAACTAAAGTGAACATCGAGCGCGCATTCAAAAGCGATTTCAATACCCGCATATTGATAGAGCAAAAATTATAAACAATATAAGAATGTTTGCGGGAGTGGCCACAAAAATCGCGGGAGCAGAACACACGTTGCGTGAGCAGGCGGTAATGGTCAGAAATTCAGCGGAAGCGGCATTACGAAACAGTTCCGCACAGAGCTCTACTCCAGACTATCCGCACAGCACGTCGACATTTTAGGCTACTTTTTTTTCTTAAAAAAATAAAAATAAAAACTAGACACATTGTGCACTGAGGTAGGCCTGCTATTTATTTTTATGTCTGACAAAAAAAAAAAAATTTAGTGTAGGCCTATTTATTTTATTCTTTTTATTTGTTATTTTATTCTGTTTTTCTCTGTTCTCAGAAGCGCTGCAGGTACTTGATAATTTGACGATGTGTGAATCCATGTTCTGTTACTCTGTTGTTCAGTATGCTGCTGTTTGCACGTTAAAATAAACCTGTGAAAAAAACTTTGTATTTTTAATGGGTCACAGACACTCATCCGTTCTATTTTTATTTAATACTAATTTATTATTATAATCTTATCAGTTAACGGTTAATGTTCAGATAACAAGTAATGGTTGTCGAAACCGAAATGAACATCCCTAGTTTGAACACAACAAACTCATGTGGAAACATGTGCCTTGTTGCTGGGAGATGTGACAAATGAAAACAATAGGGCCTTTCGCACCGCTTTAGTTCCAGAACTAAATGTACAGTACTAAAGTACTGGGACGATTTTGTGCGAACTATATTTCCCAGTACCATTTAAAGGGTTGCATTCGCACCGAGAGTGTGTACTAAGAAGTGACGTAAGCCGGTCGACAGCGACGTCATTTGTGCGCGCTGTTCAACAACGGAAACAAAGAAGAACAACATTAACAACAGGAGGATGGAGGACGCTGTGATCGGAGCTGTGTTTTTGTTGTGTCTCGCGGGTTTCACAATAATGGACATGGAAAGTCGACGTATACGTAAAGCGATTGAAAGAACGGAAAGGAGGACTAAGAATCTCCAACGACAACTGGCAGTGCTACATTTGCTACAAGTGCCTGCACTTCAGCATCCGTCCATCTATTGCTGTTCTCCATACTTGCGAAATAAGTTGACACAATGTTTACAGTATGTTTACAC